GTCTTGTACAACAAGTAGTCCCAGAGGTTCAAGTGGATTGTCTTATAGCCTGAGAATTTCTTAGGTGATTCTAATATGTCTGTAGGGCTGACAGCAAAGGGTTAAATCCACTTGCTGGGCTGGAGAGGTGGCTCAGAGGTTAAGAGCATTGACTGCTTTTCCAGAGGTCCTGAGTTCAAATCCCAGCAACCACATGGTGGCTCACAACCATCCGTTATGCAATCTGGTGCCCTCTTCTAGCATGCAGGCATATAAGCAGGCAAAATACTGCATACATAATAAATAAGTACTTTTTAAAAAATTCACTCTGCTTTACCAGGCACAGCTATGGCTAGAAAGAGGGCACAGATGCACTGGCCTAGAGTGGCACTTGGAGCCTGGCCCTAATGTTGCTGTTAACATGATTTGTAACTCTCGGAAAGTCACCTCCCCTCTCTCAGCCTCCATTGCCTCACCCTGGAGAATACAGGGTTGCTCTCTCCTGACAGTCTTCTACCTCTTTTGACCCAACTGTGTTTCCATGCAGTAGTGCTGGGAAATGAGCCGGGGCAGCAAGGAAGCAGGTCAGGCCTAGCACTGGTGACGCTACACTCTGATTCATGAAAGAAAGCCAGACTGTGGCCCAGCTTGAGTTGTGGGGGAGACAGTGAGCCCCTTGACACTGGAAGGAAGGAGAGTTAAGTGTAGCCACAGAGGTGCTACAGACTGTGCAGGGGAGATACAACGTGGGGACTCTGAAGCTCTTTCTAGGGCCAGTAAGATGGCTCATCGAGTAAAGGCATGTGCCACCTCAAGGATCCATGTGGTGGAGGGAAAGAACCAACTCTGGGGACTTTCTTTCTGACCTCTATATGTACACACACACACACACACACACACACACACACACACACACACACACACACACAGGATATTTCTAGATCTCACTGTCTAGGACTCAGCAGAAAGAAAGTTGGCACAGCTGCATTGGGGGAGATGTCAGTGCAGATGCCTTGGGGGTGCTCCTTGGAGGTGCAGCTCACCTGTGCAGTGACAAGATATAGCTTTGGGGACCATGGAGAGGGTATGAGTGACTGTGACCACTGCTTACCCAACCACAGTTTCTCATGTTTCCTTGGCCCAAGCCTGTGTGGGAATCATGAGAAGCGAAGCAGCTGGAGGAGATCCGAGTAAAGAGGTACTCAGAGCTCAGAAGGAGGTGGTCGTGGTGGTGGGGACAGCAGTACCCACAGCAGGCAGTCAGAAATTCTTTTTACTAGCTCCCTCACCTCATCCTTAGGGAGCTCCTAAGCTCTGGTTGTGGAGCCATCTTCAGGCCTGGGGTCTGGGTCCCAGTTTCAGGAGAGCAGCTGTGTCAGTTGGCCATTTCCCCAGCTGTCTTGTTATTTCTTTCTGTGTGGTTGTATGAGGTTGCATTACTAGCTCAACCACTGATGGAAGTGTTTGTTTGTGGTGTTGGAGATCAAACCCAAAGTCTCACACATGCTAGGCAAGAGTTTACTACTTGAGCTACATCTTATCTATCATCATCATCATCATCATCATCATCATCATCACCATTGTCATCTGAACCACTGGGGTGGAGCCCAGAGCCTTGAGTTTGCTAGGCAAGTCCTCTGCTAATGAGCTGTATTGTATATGTCTTCTGTAAGTCTCTTCCCTTGAATGAGGAGGGAATTGAGGCTCAGAGAGGGGCCGTGAGTTCCTTGAGTCAACCAGTAAGTGGAAGAGAGCAGATAGTAACAGCAATAATTGATTATATTGGCTAGGGTGCTATGCATTCTGTCTGTACATAAGACATTGCTACAATGTGAACACTCTGCAGGGCCTATTTTATTTGATCCCTGTAACCAACAAGCAGACACTTGGTTGTCACAAGTTCATGGACTGGGACCTGAAGTTTAAGCACTTACATGGTCCCACAGCTGAAGAAGGGCAGAGCTTTAGGATGGGGATCCAGGTTATGAAACTTCAGAGCTTGGACATGGGACGTTGTACTTTTAAGTAAGCCGGGGAGACCCAAGTTTAAGTTCCATCCATGAAGCAAACTATTGTCATAAGAAAGGTCTCCTTGACTCTTTATCAACCTGGACAGGAGGGACAGGAGGCTGTGAGAATGGCAGCATTAGAGCATGCACAAGGGAACTGGGCCCTCCAGTTTCTTAGAGCCTTGGGCTCTGCCCTGCCTGCAACCTGGATTTCCCCTCAAGATGTCTCCCTCCAAAGGCAGATGGACCCAGATCCCAGGGGTCCTAAAGCCTGCCTTTGTTCTCGCTTTGGCTTTGCTCCATGGGATGCTCCTCCCTCATACCTCTTCACACCAGCCCTGGCCCCTGCAGCCTGATGATAGCCTGACATTGTGCTTCATTTCCCCACATAGGACTTTTCTGAATCCCTAAGAGGAGGTCAGCAGTGAGAACAGGTGTGAATGGCCAGGGTAGCCTCACAGGAGGCGCCTATAGCTAGCAGGGTCATCCTTAGGCCCGTGGGCATTATTTGGCCCTACTGTCTCCTGTCTTTCGAGAGATGCTGTGTAGTGTAACATGTTCACACTGGGTTCTAACTCTCCAGGGATCAGTCCTATCACTTTATCCACTTTGTGACCTTCAACATAGATAACAACAACCCCATAAGGCAGAGTTAAAACCTAAAGGTTAGGCACCCGTGAAGCCCCAAGAGCCACTTCAGCTCCATGAACTGCTGCTGTTAGGTCAGAAGACAGGCAGCTTCTCCTGAAGTCTGGCATTACCTGAGCAGTCTTGGGAAGGGTACTTAGCTTCTCAGAGTCTCAGTTTCCTGCTCTGAGCAATGGGTTAGTGATACATCATAAAAGGGAAGTCTGAAGCCCTCAGTGTGGACAACATACTGAGCACACAGTAGGTCCTCACTGGGTGTTCACTTTCCAATGCATCCTGGGAGCCCGGCCAGCTGTTGAGGCAGAACTATATATGCTCACTCACGGTTCCCCTTGTGACAAAATGCTTAGGGAAGTCTGGGAGGCCAGTTCCTCAGCCTGCGTTAGTAGTCGGTTGCATCCTTCCTTTCTGCTCCCTGCCTATTCCCTGAATTTGTCTTTTGCCTCATGTCTGGATCTAGAGCCTGGAGATTTACAAAAAACAATGCCCATGGGGCATGAGAGACGGTTTGGCTGGTCAAGTGCAAGGACTTGGTTAGATCCCTAACACCCCCATTAAGAAAAAAAAACCCTGTGCTGTGGTACACCCTTGAGATTGTGACCCCAGCTCTGGGAAGTCAGAAACAAGTGAATCCCTGGGAGTTTCTAGCTGGCCAGCTTAGTCCACCAGTGGACTCTAGGCCAGTGGGAGACAGGCTCAGAAAATAAGGTGGGCAGCTCCTGAGGAATGACACCCAAAGATGTCCTCTAGCCTCCAAATACATAAGCGCCCATTTCATGAACACACACACACACACACACACACACACACACACACACACACACACACACACACAATGTTCTGGTGATAACCGCTGTCCAAGGGCAGCCTTTTCTAAATGTATTCATTTAATTTTATGTGTATGGCTGTTTTGTCTACATGTATGTTTTTGCACCATGCGTGTGCAGTACTCATGAAGTCCAGAAGAGGGTATCAGGTGCCTGGAACTGGAGTTGCAGACAGCTGTTAGCTCCTATATGGGTGCTGAGAATGGAACCTAGGTTTGTTTTTTGTTTTTTAATTTATGTACTTATTTAATTTTCCTCCTTCCCATTTCTGTACTCAGCATTGTCCTTAGAACTAAGCATGCATAACTGCCACTCAGAGGCTCCCTACACTCTGAGGTGCCCTGCCCAGCTTAGTTAAGGCTCCTGTATGTTTGGATTCCCCTGGAGCCATCAGCACCCTCTTGTAGAGTTGGCCATTTCTCTGTTGTCCCCTATTGCATGCTCTCCAACCTTCTTCCCTGCTCATAGGTTTCTAGGCCCCCAGGAGCTTTGTGGCTTCTGCCTTGGGTACCCTCCTGGGTTTCTGAGGCCAGCAGCCTCAGAAACAGCTGCTTAGTGTGTGTGCTTATGTAAGATGAGGCTACCTCAACAGGCTAATGATGGGGACACTGCAGGGACTGATTAGGGGACACCTCACAGGGTGATGATGGGGACACCACACAGGGTGATGATGGGGACACCACACAGGGTGATGATGGGGACACCTCACAGGGTGATGATGAGGACACCACACAGACTGATGATGAGGACATCACACAGGGTGATGATAGGGACACCACACAGGGTGATGATGGGGACACCTCACAGGGTGATGATGGGGACACCACACAGGGTGATGATGGGGACACCTCACAGGGTGATGATGGGGACACCACACAGGCTGATGATGGGGACACCACACAGGGTGATGATGGGGACACCACACAGGCTGATGATGGGGACACCACACAGGGTGATGATGGGGACACCACACAGGCTGATGATGGGGACACTTCAGATTACTTCTGTAGACTCCAAAAAGCATATGCTCCAGATGCCCGGATACTTGAGGGACAGTCTTCAGTCACCTTCGTTCATGTCTTCCTCTTTCACAAAGAAGCCCTTAGCAGCTCAGTTGAAAAAACAGGGAAACTGAGGCCTAGGAAGTAATACTGAAACACTTTTTGGCCAGAATTCAGCAGAATCCTATCTTTCTCTCCTATTTTGGGGGATCCTTTCACTGTAGCCTGGAACTCAATATATATCAATGTCCTTGAACTCTCTGCCTCCCAAGTACTGGATTAAATGTCTGTGTCTCTCCTTTCTCTCCTTTCTCTTCATCACCCTTTTCCCTCCTGCCATGTCTTACAAGCCCTCCTGAGGCACCTCTCCCTCTCCTACACTGGGCCTTTCAATCCTCCTTGTACCCTCAGCAATATCCCATTCCCCACTAAAATGGCAGGAGGCTATACCTCAAATCTGGGCTCTGAAGCAGGAGAAGAGAGGGATTTTCCACTCAGTGCCAGTGACTCCTAACAGATCTTTCTCTCCCGTTCAGGATGCTGCAGAGCAACCAGCTCCGAGGGATCCCAGCAGAGGCACTGTGGGAGTTACCCAGCCTGCAGTCACTGTGAGTCGCTGAGGGCCTACCTTCTTGGATCTGGGGAACAAATCAGACCCTGCCTTAGTTTCCCTCCTTCTGAAGTCCACTCATGAGTCCTGATGGTGCTTCTGGCTCTGGATTCCTGAGGGTTTTGTTGTTATAAGTGTGTCTATGACACTGGTGTGTATGTGGGACTGTGGGAATGGAACCTCCCTAGGCAGGGCCACCAGGGCAGCAGTCCTGAGGCCACGGGCATTCTGCCATGGGAGCTGGGATGTGGGGTGGAGACTACTGTCCAAAAGAAGCACCAGGAAGGGGCTGTCTCCTCCCCTTAGCTGGCTTTTGCCCTGGAGCTCAGTAGGAGGAGGAGTTCAGGTTCAAACGCCTACTTCCCTACCTACTTAGCTGAGAGAGGGGACTGTGATCACAGAGTCTGGGCCACCCAGGATAGAGCCCAACCTCCAAGCAGCCCTGTAGTTCCTCTTTTACCCAGCAGGGGAATCAAGGCAACAGGACTAAGCCTGTCCATGAGAGTGGGAATAGGTGCTAGGGCTGAGGGAAGCTGGTCTTGTATGCGTGCTGTGCCCAATGCAGGGCTGGGAACATGGTAGGTGCCTCACACCTGCTTATGGAAGCCAATTGAATTTTTGGTTGCACCTATATTCATCCAGTGGGGTGAATACATATTTTGGGAAAATCATAGTTGGAGGATAGGACTCAGGTAGGGGTGACATTAGGATAAGGCTTGCAGTATCCTTGGATGTTGGTTATGCTATGGCCCTGCCTAGAGCATGGATGTGGAAGTCAGACAGTCTTAACTTGCTTTGATTGTCCTTGAGCAGAAGGCAGGGGACAGGGAAAATGGCTTTTCTCTGGACTCTACCTTTAAGTAGAGGATCTCTGGCCAGCTCTAGTCACAGCCACCACAGTTTGTGTTTTCCTCTCATTAGCTACCTGGGTATACATTGCTTTTGTTAGCTGAGTAGCCTGGATGGCAGAAGCTACCTTCCCTCCTCTTTTTTTCATCTTTCCTCCGGCCCCAGCAGCCTCTCCCTCCATTCAGCAGGATAGGTATAGGCAGTATGCCCCAGGAGGCCAAGGTCAGTAGATGAAAGCCAGGAAAGCCTGTGCGTGCTGTCTTGCAGGCAGACTAAACATTTGCTTAGGGCACCAGCAAAGACCTGGGAGAGCCAAAAATAAGAGGTGGTGGATGGGGCGGGGGAGGTTGACATTTCAATCAAAGCTTCAAACAGACTCATAGGAAAAACTTGGACTTATTTTGAAGTTAAATCATTAATTAAAAAGAAGTGAGTCACACCTTTTGCTGAGGTCTCTGAAGCTCTTGCTTTCAGAGCAGGCCTGGAACTTTCAGTTAGACACACAGTTTCCCTCATGCGTGCTGAGAAGTAGGCAGAGCATTCACCAGCCACGTTGTAGCCCTCTGCTTAGGCAGATGAGGGCAGAAACCAAGGCAGATGGGTAGGTCTAGCCTCCTTCGATCTTGAGAACACCAGCTTGCCAGAGAAAGCTTGGCCTCAGACCCTGCCTCTGATCTTGGGTACATGCCTCAGTTTCTCCATCCTCAAAGGGGGGGACCATGATCATACCCTGCTCACCTCCAAGGGCTTTCCTGAAAAGAACACACAGAATCCATTTTGAGAGCGACAGAAAAATGGAAGGCTGTGCACAGCAGTGACAGTGCTTGTCTGTCTATCCAGTCATCGGTTCATTCATTTCAAAATATGTCTGAGGCTGTACTGAGTCGGCAAAGTTTGTATTAGGTCTTGAAGATAGGGAAATGTCAGCCTTGTGAAGAGGCAGGAAAGGACATGATGGCCAAAGGGACCACAGGGTGTTGAGGTAGAGAGGTAGAGGGGGAAGAAATTGAGTGAGCACTAGGGAGTTTGGCTGAAGTGTGTGTGTGTGTGTGTGTGTGTGTGTGTGTGTGTGTGTTAGGCAGAGCAGCTTTAGAGAAAGAACTGAGATTAGCAAATGATACCCTCTGACAAGTGGCTGTCACTTAGTTAAGGATTCCATGACGATGATAGAAGGGAACCTCAGAAGGACTTTGAGCAGGACAGCAGTGGGAACGTTTATGTATTTGAAAAATCCCCTTTTGGCAGCAGTGATGAGGATAGAGGGGGTGGGGCAAAAGCCAGGCTGCCAAGAGTGACAGTGGCCAGAGGACAGGCGGGGGCAGCAGTGAAGGGAGAAGTTGATGGGCTCTGAAAACTTCAGCACTTGGGAGGCAGACTTCTTTACACTCACACCTCGGCGGCTCCATGGGCTTCCTGGAAGGCCTGGGCAAATTACTCAACCTCCATCCTGTTTTTCCTTATCCACACAACCGTGGCAGTGTTGGCATCCACTCATCTCATGAGTTCAAGGTACGGGAGAGACTTGGAACAGTGCCTTTTGTTGTCATTGCCATAGGCATTAGCAGCAGCTGACCGTGGGAGTAGGGGGAGGGAAGAAGTCACACCGACACCCACTTCTCTGACTTTGACATCATGGTAAGAGAATCTGGTCACCAAGAGCTTGGCACATGGTGGAACTCGGATAGAACCTGAGTCCTGGCTTAACCAAGGTGATCAGCAGCCCAGATAAACCAGAGGTTGTTCATTCTGTCTCCGGGGTGCAGGTGTGTGTGTGTGTGTGTGTGTGTGTGTGTGTGTGTGTGTGTGTGTCTGCAATCATGCAATTACATGTGTGTGTACATCAACATGCATGTGTGTACATGGTGGGCGGGGCAGGGGGGAGGAGGAAGTATTTAATGTGAGGACTCAGGATATGGGGTGTTGTGTCCTGAGCTTTTGGAAAGTGTAAGAGTCAGAGAAAGATCCCCTCAGACATTGAAGGGAGGTGCTGCTCACCAAATTTAGTTCCCACCATGTCAGACAGCAACAGTAAGACCAGGCTTTGTTAGCAGGCTGAGAGGACAAATGTAGCCAAGACCAGTGTCATAGATTGTCTACCATGTGACTTTGTCTGCACTCTCCCTTACCAACCGCCCTCAGCTAACAGATGAGGAGACCTGCAGGAAAGTTTTGGGGCTATCCAAGGTAGAGTTGTTGAGGCACACGCAGGGATACTTCAGCTGTGGGATTCCAAAGGCTGTGAAGGAGCCTTTCTGTGATGGCCGTTATTCAATTCCTTCCTCCTTTCCTAGAGCAGGAGCAAATGCTAATTCCTGCTTTCTGTTTTAAGCTGCTACATTAGGGAGGCACAGAGTCATATCTCTTTCCATACTCTCCCATAGCATGGCTGCCCTCTTAGAGCAGGCAAGATGCACAGCGGGAGCTCATATCCTCTGACACCTCAATATGGGGGCACCTCTGTTCTCCTGGAGCCATTTGTGGTTCAGCCCTGTGGATGGGCCTACCTTTTACCAGCTAGACCCAGATACAAGGAACAGGAACTAGGTATGGGGAGTCCAGTGTGGGACTGGGGCGGGTTCAGGGCAGCCAGCCTGCATTCCAGGGGCCATGTACTGAGCTGGATGTGGCACATGAGCTATTTGGTTTGGCACTTGGGCTGGCGGCACCCTACTCCCCAGTACCCCACTTTGCACACACTTACTTCCTCTTGGACCAACGTGGGAGGAGAGTACAGCCACACCAGACATGTCACATCAGGCATGAATCCAGGCCAAGAGAAACCACTGCAAGCCCAAGGAGCCTGGGGCTAGATAGAAACTGGGTGGGGGTGAGGCAGGACCCTGGGTAGAGCCCATAGAAAAGCAGAAGCAAAGCTCTCAGAGTCAGTAACAGGTTGGGCTGGGTCTAGGTGTCTTGGGAAGCACAGTGGCAAGAAAAAAAAAAAAAAAAGCAAAAACAAAACAGAAAAACACCCAGTCTTGGAAGCCCTGGTGAGTGTATATCACCAAGGACAGCCGCTTGGCAATGGCCATTAATCTAATCTTGAAAGCCCTTCCAGGTAGCTTCTAGTTATGACCATTTTATAGATGAGGTAACTAAAGCCCAGAGAAGTTAAATAGCTTTCTGGAGGTCAAACAGCTAGGACAGAACAAGGATGGGATTTTGGTTTAGTTCATACTCCACAGTCCCAAGGTCTTCACTTTGCCCTTTAATACCTTTTCAAAGCTCTAATATCTTAGGGTTCAGAGATTTGGGTTCAAGTCTTGGCTTTATCACTAGCTGTCAATCATCTTTGAGCCTAGGGTTCTCCATCTCTAAGGTGGGAAGGTCAAATGAGATGACTGGACAGCTAGGCTTTCAAGAGATTATCCTGCCTGAAGATGATAACTTTCTGATAAGGTCCCTGGCTCCTGAGACTTGTTCACTCTGGGCCTCAGTTTTACTGTCTGTGCTATGACCATGTTCCCTGTGAACCTTCCTAGCATTGTGGGAATACAGCAGAGCTGGACAGGGAGAAGAAAGACATTAGTGTGTTCAGGAGAAAATAACCAAGCATTCGGTCCCAGGCATGTCCCTCGAGGAGAAGAGTAAGAGGGGTTCCTGGGAAAGACAAAGCAGGTTCCCCTCCCTCGATGCTGTGACCTACTTTGAAGAGACAGCTGTACACAGACTAATGCCCCAGGCAAGGTTAATAAGAGCACCATGCAGATGGCACTTGGTGTGTGACAGTCACTTGCACCTGTCACCAGTCTTCACATCACTCCTGTGGGACCAGTATTGCTGCTGATTTCCCTTCTCCGCTTCACAGACGAGCATCCTGAGATACAGAGGTGATGCTATTGAGTAGAGCTACCATCAGAACTCAGGTGGTCCCCAAAGGGACTGCACATAGCTGCCTCCAAGACAGAGTCTGAGTGGCAGAGGGGGAAGATAGCCAGTTTGGGGGATTGGCTATATTTGGGGATCAGGGTATTTCCAGAGCACCTGCTCCAGGAGCTGTTGAGCTCAGCCATAGATGCCTGGGGATCCTAGATCCAACTATTTCTGCCTCTATCTTGGAATTCTAAAGTAGAGCCTAGAAAGATGGGACAGGATGATGCGGGTAGCCTGAAGAGCTAGGGTCTGCCCATATGATATTAGCTTTGCCCC